CCTGGGCCGTGTCGAGAGCGCTACTTTCCACAGCTTGTCAATGACTATACACGCTACACCACGGTGTTTCCCCTGGAGCAAAAGGGTGACGTGCCTGACGTTCTTATCACGTGGGTCGTAGCTGCGCGAATCCACCGCGAGCTCCCTGTGTTGCATCTCGACTCCGACCGTGACGGCGAGTTCGCCTCAAGTCGACTTAGCCAATTCTGTCGTGCTGAGGGCATCAACCAGACGTACACCCTGCCGGATTCCACCAGCAGAATAGGGTCGCTGAGCGACGCATCGATTTGGTCATGGAGGCAGCTCGTACCTCAATGATCCATGCCGGTGCACCCCATTTTCTGTTGTCGTTTGCTGTTCGCTGCGCCGCTCAGCAGCTTAACCTGTAGCCACACTCTCAGCGGTCGCAGGTTTCGCCGACCCTTCTCTAGACTGGGTTCCCTGGTGACGCGTCTGCATTCCATGTCTAGGGCTACCTCACTCACATTCGTGCCTTCGGCATGGACAAGCTCACTGCACGCATTGTCTCTTGTGTCTTCCTCGGTTTCCACCCTCGACGCGTCTGAATGGCACTTTTACCAGCCGCCGTCTTACCGCTTCTTTCACTCGCGTGACGTCACTTTTGACAAGTCTGTCTCCTTCTACCACTGCTTTTCCCACCGAGGTCTCCCGGTTGCCTTGTCCCTGTTTCTGGTTCCCACTCCCCCGGTAGCACCTGTACTTCTACCTCCCCATCCTTCCCCGTCTGGTGTGTCTCACGTCACTCCCCTCCCATCGGTTGTCCCGGTCGAGGAGTCGGCCGAATCTGGTGGCCGTGTAGCACCGTTCTCGTCATCTGTCTTTGCCCTGGTGTCTCCTCCTTCGCCGTCGCAGCAGCTGCTGTAGTCGCCGCCGCAGTAGAAGTCGCCGTCACGGCCGCCGCCGCAGCAGCCGCCGCAGGGGTTCGTGAGCTCTGGGGGTGCGGGCGTTGAGGAGGGTGCTAGTGCTGGGGTTCCTGTCGTGACTTGTCCCGGCGGTCCTGGGGGTGGCCCCAGTGTTGGAGAGGGTTCTCGCTCTGGGGGTGTTGGCATGGAGTGCCCCGGAGGTAGACGTGGTACAGGTGGAGATTCTGGTGTCGACGTGGAGCAGCAGCAGCAGCAGTAGTCGCCGCTGGTTTCCGCCCTTCGCCTCCTCGGTCTTCCCTCCCCTGACCACCCACCTGCGCCTCCCCCGTCGCCGCCTCTCCTTCCTATCTACGGCCCTGTGTTTCCGCTGCCGTACTCGTCTCCGACGCGTTTCCCCCCTCGTTCTCCTCCTGTGTCTCCTGACCCGACGCGTCCGTCCCACTTCTGGTCTCGCCGTCTCTCTCGTGCTCGTCATGTCTCTCCTATTTAGTGCTCTCACCCTATGTTGCTCCGTTCCCACGCATCTCGTCCTCCCCTCCTCCTGTCACCTCCTCCGTCGTCGCTTGTTCTTGCTCCGCCTCCTCTGTCCGGCTACCTTTGTGCCGCTAGTCATCTTGTTCAGAGGGTCCTTTCCTCTTTCCTTACCGACCCGTCTGTTCCGGTCTCGAATCTTGATGCTCTTGCCGCTCCCGTCATTGACTTTGCCTATACCCGCCGCTTTGACTATGCTGCCGCTCTGGTCTTTGACCCTGTCCATCCTCCATCCGTGGGGGGTGCTCTTGCCCTTGACAGTAACATTCTAGAGATGACGCTCTATGCTGATAGTCCCTGAGGGCGACCCAGATGCCTTTGACATCCCGACCCCTCGCACTTATGCTGAGGCGACCTCGGGACCCTAGGCTTCTCAGTGGATAGCTGCCATGAACGCGGAGATGGCATCTTGGAGTTCCACTGGCACCTACGTCGACACAGTTCCCCCACCTGGGGTGAACGTAGTCGATGGCCGGTGGCTCTTCAAGGTGAAGCATCCTCTTGGAGAGCCGCTGGTATTCAAGGCACGCTACGTTGCTAGAGGCTTTAGTCAGCGCGAGGGTGTTGACTTCTTTCAGACCTTCGCCCCGACCCCGAAGATGACCACTCTTCAGGCGCTGCTAAACGTAGCAGCACAACGTGTCTACGAGCTGCACTCCGTCGACTTCTCTACAGTGTTTCTCTAGGGCAGTCTGCATGAGCAGGTCTACCAGCGCCGTCCTCCAGGGTTCACCAGCACTTTCGCCCCTAGGATCGAGTGGCTCCTCCGGCGCCCAGTTTATAGCCGGCGGCAGGCCCCCCTGTGAATAGCATGACACGCTGTGTGCTACGCTAGCTGAGTTACAGTTCTTCCCGTCGTCTGCAGACCCTTCAATCTTCGTCCGTTCAGGACAGACCCTGTTCTACATCATTGTCTATGTAAACGACCTGGTCTTTGCTACTGCAGACAGAGACGCTCTGGCCTCGGTGAAGGCTGAGCTGCTAAGGAGACACATCTGCATTGACCTAGAAGAGGTGTGCCGCTACCTTGGGCTGTAGATCTCCAGGGACAGAGCAGCGCACACCATCACTCTCACACAGTCACCCTTGGTGCGCCAGGACCTTCAGAGGTTCGGTCTTTAGTTCTCCTCCGCGCAGCCGACACCTCTGCCAGTAGATCACAAACTCTTGGCTCTAGTCCCTGAGGAGTCGGTAGAGCCTAGTGGCCCTTACGCAGAGCTGGTGGGTTGCCTTATGTACCTAATGACTTGCACTCGTCCAGATCTCGCATACCTTCTCAGTATCCTGGCTCGCTTCGTTGCGACAGGCAGACACCGACCACAGCACTGGTCGGCAGCTAAGAGGGTTTTGCGTTATCTAGCAAGTACATCGGGCATGGGGCTAGTGCTAGGAGGACGCAGTCCAGTGGTCCTGACAGGGCACACAGACGCTTCGTGGGTCGACGAAGCTGAGACGCTGCGGTCCTCTCAGGGCTACTGCTTTAGCCTTAGTGCAGGCGCTGTCTCGTGGAGGTCCACTTGTTCGTCGTCTGTTGCATATTCTTGCTGCGAGGCTGAGATCTACGCTGGTGCCATGGCGGCACAGGAGCTCCGCTGGCTGATGTTCCTACTCACAGACTTAGATGAGCGGCCTAGCTCTGCCGCGGCCTTGTACGCTGACAATTGGGCCATGATCCTCCTGTGTTATGAGCCGCGACTGGAGGGCAGAGTGAAGCACATCCAGCTGCGATACTTCCTCCTGCGCGAGCTGCAGCAGCGATGCCAAGCCCGCGTAGTTCACTTCTCCTCCGATGCCAAGACAGCTGATATCTTACTAAGGCGCTTGCGCCTAAAGATCATCAGCGACACTGTGTACAGCTTGGTCTAGTTCCTATAACTCCTCACTTGCTAGGACCTTGATTTTGTACTACTCCTATTATATTCTCCTGATTGGCCTTGTGGCTTTTGCTCCAATAGCCGGACTAGTAGTGCTGCCCTGGTTTGCTCTTGTTTTGTTTGTACTCTTCTGACTGGTCTTCAGACCATTGCCTCAGAGGTTGGACTAGTAGTACCACCCTGAGCTGCGAGTCTCTTGCCAGGCACCGCCCCTTGTCTAGCCTAGGGGGTGTGTCAACATACCGTAATCCCCCGTATAAAACACCCGCTGGAAGTAAGCTCCCCGGGTAGCTTGAGCGGGTATGGGTGCTTAATTTTTCTGGATATACACAACACCCTACTCTCGGATGTGAAAACTTTTGAACACCCCCCTGCCACATAGAATCTCCATTTTTAGCAGGAAACACCAGAATTTTGCGGTGCGTAGATGTGTGCAACCATTCGAAATTTCCACTCCTGCTGGGGCAACCGTATGCACGTCAAAGAAAGTGGGGAAAACGAGCTCGTGGCCATCGCGACGCGGGTATTTATGTAGGAGACGAATCTGCCCGAACAAAAACAAAAAGACCGAGAACAGTGAAATCCGAAAGTTTCATGCTGTACTCGACTTTTGCGTGTCCCGCCAAATCAAACGTGTGCCGATTGGTTGTTCTGACAGCATCCTCTGTGACACTGCACGCGCAGTGCCAATGTGGCATGCAGATGGGCAATATCGTCCGGTATGCAATGAAATGACCAAAAGTGGGTATCCGACTCAAATGAAGGTGGTGAAACATGCACACTTGAATTCCAATTAAAAAAAAATGCATATGCAAATTCCATAACTCCTGGATGTTTGATTTTTTTTGCCTTTAATTACACCCAGCCCAAAATTTCGATGCATTTTTATTAACACCATAGGGTGTTTTATACGGGGGATTACGGTATATTTGTATATGTTATAGGCTAGATATGTGCATGCTCGTAGAGGGTACAACACCATAGCACAAAACCTTTTTGTATGGCACAATCTAGTTCATTGTGTTTTTCTAACAGTAGCGAAATGTCGCAAAAGGAGGATTGCGACTATAAAGACGGAACCTTGCGAGTCCACCAGAATTTTGCGATTTGCTAATTGGAGGACGTTCATTTGCGCGGAATTATTTGCTGCTTGGTTTGTCAGCTGACTGGCTATAGCCATCAGATTTTCGCAAGACCCGAGGCAATTTTTTCCAGCCTCAGGTCTTAGAGCACAACCCGAGGGTCTAACACTCGCTCCAGAAATCACCCTGATGCCATGTCCAACAGACACAGATGGTACTCTGATCTATTTATCACAAAATAATTTCCCTTTGTTCTCATTCTGTAAGCACATTATGCTGTTAAATTTGGTAGTGTACTGTTGTCTTGTACGTGTTAGGTGAACTGGAATGGGAACCATCCAGCATCTGTCTGGCTCCTCACCTGTGATAACGGCTTTGTAACAAGCGAGTTGCTGTGGTTGACGCCCAGTGATCGCCAACTTGGCGATCTCCCAGCTGAGAGAGGCCAACTGTGGACAACCAGGTTTTCCCAAAACCCTGACGAAACTCGGCGAAAGGAACGACGAAGAAGGCACAGCTGGATCTGAGTTCTTCTCCCTTTCAGCCTGCAATTGCTTGGCCTCTATGCCCGAAGCTGCTTCCTCAAGTCGAACACCCACCCACCCGCACTTGCATACACACACTCCCTCCCAAAGCATCCACTGTAACCACTTTCGGACTAATAACTGACCTCCCCATTGGTAGCTGCGATGGATCTCTCTCCACTGGGATTGGTATTGCTCGGCAAATTTCCTGAAATGAAGTGGTCGCATTGTGTGTCTCCAGATACCTTCTAGGCTGGGTAAAGTTCTGTTAATTTGTTTAAGAGCCGTCGATCTGTCTAGACTGTGACCTAACGGCATTGTCAGTCGCTGTTCTCGTTATGGCGACACGATGGGGCGTGCCGACTCGTTCGGCTCGGCTGGCGAGCCAGCTGAACACGGAGATTCAGCTTCTGCTGGCGGCTATGCGGCAGAACAGCAAATGGGTCGCGGGCCCTCGCATCCTGGGAGAAGAAGTCGAAGTTCCGGAAGATCCATTGCTCCTTAATCTTAAGATCCTACGGCGGAACGCGTTTTTGTGGGCTGCTGGAGCAACGGAGGTGTCAGGAATGCGATCTGGTGGAGACGCGTGGGAGCGTGGGATGGCTGGGAGGGACGCCGCGAGTCAAGCGGAGGGGCAAGGGGACGGAGGAGCAGCACGCGAGGCGAGTAGTGGGGAGGAAAGGCAGGCGGCGAGCTCAATGGCGTCGAGTGGTGCTGGCGAGGGGCCGAGTGGTGAGGCATGCGGCGAGGAGTGGGATTGCGTGGAGCCGCTGGAGTACTTGGCGCCGTTCCTCACCATCATCCGCTCCGAGAAGACCAACACGGCCGCCACAGGGGTCGCGCTCGCCGCCACGCACAAGATTCTGACGACGGGGTTCTTCTCGAAGAGCACTCGCGGCGCGGCGCGAGCCATGCACGCCGTGGTTGAGGCGGTGACGGGGTGCCGCTTCGAGGTGACCGACCACTCGTCGGAGGAGGTGGTGCTCATGAAGATCCTCCAGGTCATCCCACGCCACCCCTCCGCATCGCGCTCACTCTCACCTCCTCCCACGCCCACACTCTTAAGTCTAGGCAGGCTATAGTTGCGACTTAGGATTCTCCACAACTCCATAATTCTCCCACTAGTCTCAATTTGAGCTGTTAATTTCTCGGGCCGGTCATCTGAGACTTGGATTCCTGTTCCGGGCCTTCCTATTCTCGCGCCTTTCCGCACTGCTTGTTTGGTTGCTTCCCCCTTTTCCGTTCTCTTCAAATCCTATACTCTTTGTCCTCTGTGCTCTTTACATTGCGTCATGCCACATCGTTGCAACCCATGGCAGGTTCTCGTGGCATGTCTGACGTGTCCAGCGGGCGAGCTGTTGTCGGATCGTGACGTGTGCAGCGTGGTGAACACGTGCTTCCGCGTGGTGCACCAGTCCGCCCTGCGCAGCGACGTGCTGCAGCGCGCAGCGTGCGCCGCCATGCATGACATGGTGCGCACCATCTTCGCGCGCCTGCCGTCGCTGGCCAGCTGGGCGGCGTCGGGCGAGGAGGAGATGCAGGCGGCGAGGAGCACGGAGGGCACCATGGTGCTGCCCGACGACCACGCCGTCGACGCCGCCGCGGGCCTCGACGCAGTGTCCGCTGCACCGCCCAGAGAGGACGCCGAGGCGCCGGGTGAAGGGGGTGCCGCCGCTGCAGTGGGTGCAGCAGAGGGCGTGGCGGGGGGTGGTGGAGATGCAGGGCAGGAAGGCCTGGAGAAATCGCAGCAAGGGGATGAGGTATGTGGGTCTCAGGGGCTTATTGTAGCCATGTGGCAGACACGTGCAGTGCGTTGGTCGTTAAAGGCGGCACATGGTGCGATTTGGTAGTGCCTGCGGGTCTGCAGTGAACCGAGTGCCACCTGTTATTGTGCCTGCCAATGTTAAATTTGCAGCAACGCCTGCGTACCCAGACTACTTGTAACCGTTTCGCACATGTTCTAACTTGCTGCTGTGCCTGCTCCCTGTTTGCCTGTGTCCCTGCTGGGTCCCATCCCCACTGCACCAGTCACACCCTCTCCTGCCATCAGGCGCAGCCCACGCGGCGTCTGCTGCCTCTCCTAACGGTTCTGAGTCGCCAGGGACGGACTCGGGCAGCGAGGCGGACAGCCAGCACGACGGTGGGCTAGGGGACGATTCGTCTAGTGGGAACGAAGAGGACGGGGAGGAAGAGGAGGGGGGGGAGTTTGAGGAGGAGAGCAGTGCACTGGATTTCAGCCACGAGGTGGTGCTGGGTCGGCCGTACGGTGCAGCGTGTCTGGTGGAGGTGTTTCACTTCCTCTGCTCGCTGCTCACCCTCGAGGAGAACCTCGTTGCCTCGCCACGCGCTGCCAGTCCGCGCACCCCCCGCTCCTACGCGTGGGCGCATGCGCACGAGGACATGCCTCTCTTCGCCCTGCAGCTCATCAGCACTGCTCTGGACCTCACAGGCGAGCATGTGGCCCAGCACCGGCGCCTGCTGGCCCTTGTGTCCGACGACCTGTTCCGCTCCTTCTTCCTGCTGGCCGCCTCGCCCAACCCGCTCGTCTTCCCGCTCATCTGCAGCATCGTGCTGCGCCTCTTCCTGTGCCTGCGCCGCCACCTCAAGCTGCAGCTCGAGGCGTTCTTCCTCGTGGTGCTGGCGCGCGCGGCGCAGGAGCGCTACGCCGTGTCGTACCAGCAGCAGGAAGCGGCGCTGGAGGCGCTGCTGGACTTTTGCCACCTGCCGGAGTTTGCAGTGGAGCTGTACAGCAACTTCGACTGCGACATCAGCCGCAGCAACCTGCTGGAGGACCTGGGCGGGCTGCTCTCCAAGAGCGCCTTCCCCGTGGCGTCGCCCCTCACCTCGCTGCACGTGCTGGCGCTGGACGGGCTGCTCGAGATGCTGCGCCACATGGCCCACCGCGTTGACTCCGGGCCCGCCCCCAAGCCCCCTGCGCCGCCCAGCTATGGCAGTGGGCGCCAGGCGGATGGGGTGGAGTTCTGGACGTGCCAGTGGGGGCCTCCTCCGCCCACCACTGCGGCAGCTGCTGCAGGATGGGGTGATATTGGAGATGCTGGGGCAGGCAAGCAGCAGGCGGGCGTGGCAGGCGAAGGGGGAGGCGAAGGGGCAGGCCATAGGAGCAGAGCGCGTGCTGACGGTGGTGGGTGGGGCGTGTGGGAGGCGGAGGGCGACTGGGGTCGGTGGGTGGAGTTTGTGCGGGCGAGGAAGCACGTGAAGCGGCGTCTGTTGCAGGGTGCGGAGCATTTCAACAGGGATCCAGCGAGGGGTCTGCAGTACCTGCAGGCGGCGAAGCTGCTGCCAGAGGAGCTGGATGCGCGCAACGTGGCGTGCTTCTTCCGCTACACGCCGGGGCTGAGCAAGCGTGTGCTGGGCGACTACTTGGGCGACCACGAGCCGTTCAAGGTGGCCGTGCTGCACGAGTTCGCGCGCCTCTTTGACTTCTCAGGCCTCGCCCTGGATGGCGCCCTGCGCACCTTCCTTGAGAGCTTCCGCTTGCCAGGCGAGGCGCAGAAGATCGCCCGTGTGCTTGAGGCGTTTGCTGCACGCTACTACGAGCAGTGCCCTGACGTGCTGGCGAGCCGCGACGCAGCGTACATCCTGTCGTACTCGGTGATCATGCTGAACACGGACCAGCACAACGGGCAGGTGCGGCACAAGATGACAGAGGAGGAGTTCATCCGCAACAACCGCATGATCAACGACGGCACAGACCTGCCGCGCGACATGCTCACGGAGCTCTACCACTCCATCGCCCGGGACGAGATCCGCGTGTCCGCCGACAGCCTCGCAGGCGGGGGGTCAGGCGCAGGCAGTGGATCCGCAGGCGAGATGAGCTACAGCCGCTGGATGGACATCGTGCGGCGCGCGCCCTCATGCCTGCCGTATGTGCCGTGTGGCGACTCGAGGCCGCTGCTGGACCATGACATCTTCGCGGCGGTGTCGGGGCCCGCCATCGCGGCCATGAGCGTGGTGTACGACCACAGCGACTCCCCCGACGTGCTGCGCCAGTGCCTGCAGGGCTTCATGGACGCCGCCAAGATCTGCGCCGCGCACTGCATGCGCGACGCGCTGGACGACCTCGTGGTCTCGCTCTGCAAGTTCACCACTCTGCTAAACCCCGCGGGGGGGGCGGGTGCAGCGGGGGGGCAAGCAGGGGCAGGGGGGTACGATGGAGGGGGGTTGGAGGAGGAGGAAGCTGCTCTGGCGTTTGCGGAGGATGCGAAGGCGACGATGGCAGCGGCGGCGGTGTTCACAGTGGCCAACAGGTACGGCGACTACATCCGCACAGGGTGGCGCAACGTGCTGGACTGCGTGCTGCGCCTGCACAAGCTGGGGCTGCTGCCAGTGCGCGTGCTGCTGGCGGCGCATGACGGCGCGGGGCAGGACGAGCTGGTCAAGCTGCCCTTCATGGGGGACGCCTCCACCGCCACCTCCACACGCGCCGCCATGCAGCAGCGGGAGGGCGAGGGGCCCGGGGGTAAAGGGGGAGGCAGTGGCAGCAGTGGATGGGGTCGGGGAGGGGGGTTAATGCTTCGGTTCAGTCAGCTGTTTCTGCTGGAGTCGGAGGAGGAGCAGCAGCCGTCGCAGCAGCTGCTGGAGGCGCAGCGGCAGGTGCTGCGGGCGATGGAGGAGTGCCGCATCGAGGCCATCTTTGCTGACAGCAAGTTCCTCCAGGCCGACTCCCTGCTGCACCTTGCCAAGGCGCTCATCTGGGCTGCCTCTTCTGGCAGGCCGCTGCGAGGGGACACTGGCAGTGGGAGAGGGGGCAGTGGCAGCACCATGGGTGGCGGCATCGTGGGGGGCAGCACGGTGGACGAGGAGGACACTGCAGTGTTCTGCCTGAGTCTGCTGGTGGCTGTGACGCTCACCAACCGCGACCGCATTCTGCTGCTGTGGCCTGCGGTGGCGGACCACCTGGCGGCCGTGGTGGAGACGGCCACTGCGCCCACTGCGCTCGTGGAGAAGGCGGTGTTTGGGCTGCTGCGCCTGTGCCGCCGCCTGGTGCCGTACAAGGAGGACGTGGCGGACGAGCTGCTGCGGTCGCTGCACCTCATCCTGCGCCTGGACGCGCGCCTGGCAGACGTGCTGTGCGAGCGCATCACAAAGGAGCTGCTGCTGCTCGTGCAGGCACATGCTGCAGCCGCTGCTGCAGCCACAGCGGCTGCCACTGCAACAGCGGCCGGTTTCCCCAGCAGCTTCCCTGCATCCCCAGGCGCTCTTTCCCGGGAATCAGGTCACATTCGCTCCGCTGCCGCGTGGCGCACGCTGTGCTCGCTGTTGGCCGTGGCGGCGCGGCATCCAGACGCTGCAGCAGCGGGCTTTGAGGCGCTGCGCTTCGCCATGGAGGATGGCAGTGGGGCGCCGTCGCTGCAGCTCACCGCCTCCTCCCTCCACCGGGCCATGTCGCGAGCAAGGGGTGAGGAGGGGCCACGCAGTGTGCTGCCCGCCAGTCTGCTGCCGTGTCTGGACGCCGCAGTGGAGTTTGTGGAGTCCAGGGCAGGCGGACCAGAGCGGTCTGTGAAGGCACTGGACCTGCTGCTGGGGCTGCTGCGACCGCTGCAGCAGTGCATGGCGGATGTCATGGGGCTAGAGGCAGTGGAGATATGCGAGGGGGGCGAGGGGGAGAGGCAGGCGCAGTTGAAAGAGGTCTGGGACGCATGGAGCAAGCTGGTGTCGGTTTTGGCACGTGCGGGCACGGAGCAGAGGGAGGCGGTGCGCAATGCTGCCATTGTGGGCACACAGCAAGTGCTGCTGGCTGCTGGTGGCCTGGGCGTGCCTGTGCGCATGCAAGTGAGGTGCCTGGAGGAGGTGGCGCTGCCGCTGCTGGACGGGCTGCTGGACTCGGCCACGAGGGAGAAGCCAAGGGAGTTCAAGGGCATGGAGGGCTCCCTCTCACTCGCACTCAAGCTGCTCACTTCAACCTTCCTCTCTTTGCTGCCTCACCTCCTTCCCATCCCTTCATCTCTCACAGCCCATGCCCACTCGCATCCTGCTCCGTCCACTGATAACAACCTGCTTTCCCCCTCTTCCGCTGCCACGTCTCACACTGCCACCGCCTCTGCTCTCGCGTCCCCCCGCACGCCTGCTGCGCACCCTGCTTCTGTGCTGCGCCAGCTGTGGCTGGCAGTGCTGCAGCGCCTGGAGCGGTGCAGCAAGGGCAAGGTGAGGGCTGCTCTGGGCGGGGGGGAGGCGGTGCAGCGAGAGGCGGAGGAGGCAGTGCGGGAGCTGCTGCAGGCCATGGCCCAGCACAGGGTGCTGCTGCCCCCCGCTGCCCCGCCTGCCGTGCCTGCCGACAGTGGTGGCGATGAGAAGGGCAGGGATGGTGGGGGGGGCAGCAGGGAGGGAACAGGTGCAGGGGAGGGAAAGAATGAAGCTGAGAGTCTGTGGGAAGTGACTTGGCGGGCGGTTGGGGTCATTGCTCCTGGTGTTACAGTGGACGAGATGTTACCGGTGGAAACAAGGCGCCCAAGCAGCGAGGGCAAGGACGGGCCGGAAGTAGGGGTGGGGGAAGGGGACTACGTGCTGGTGGGGAAGGAGGATGGGGATTCACATCAGTAGCTACAGGCGGCTGAAGAATGGCATGACGCCAGAGTTGGGTAGTGGAAGCTTGCACGGCGAGTGGGAAAGGCGGGGGCGTAATCGTTTTTGGGTGTCAATGCAGCAGCACTCTGTCTGTTCAGCTGCACAGCCTTCTCATGCACACGCAAGAAGGCTCGTTGTACGCATGCTTGGCATTTGTGATCCTGTGCTTTTCACTCTGGTAGCTTTACTGCAGCCTTTAATATTGGAATCGAGGGTGATTTTTTTTGTAAACTTACGGTATTCGGTTCACCATGTTTTCTGCCTCTAAAGTAGATCACGGTCCCATGTCATACACCATCCTTAGTTGGATACCAATGCCATCAGCTGACCGTGGGTATTTAGGCCTGAAGGTAGTTCATGGAAAGCCAGCTCTCACTTCGAAAGGCTGGATGCTTTTCCCAACCAGGTCCAACGCTGTAAACAGAAAAAAAAGATCACTCTATATGTGGGAACAATCAAATCACGATTCATGAGCTTTTGCTGATCTCTCTTCCGTTCTACTACCGTGACTGGATTGACTAACTACAAGACCTCATCTCATTTGCGCCCCTTGGCTTTGGGCATGGCATATTGCCTCTGTGCTGCCACCGACACTATTTGCAGCATTGGCCACACGCGTGCGGCACCTTGGTGCCCCTCTCTGCGCTGCTCCGCGGTGCGTGCAAGAGTCAGCTGCTGCAGCTGCGTCAGCGACGGTAGCACACATGCTGTGAGGCGCCCGCCGTACACACACCCCGTGTCAAGGCCCGTGGCCCAGGGGGTCCTGCAGGGGGGGACAGGCAGGCAGACAGAGCTGAGACAAGGGGTTCGGCCAATGGTATTGCAGGGCTAGGCCAATCTACTTGTTCTTTGTTGCCTTGTTAGCTCCCTGTGCCCTCATGACCAATAAGCGTGACCTCATCCCCACGCCTCCTCCCCCAATCCCCCTCTCGCCCTGCGATGAGGCGCGTCGTCTCACCTCTGCAGGCCCCTGAGAGCATCGTGCCCAAACACCACGTGCTGCCTGCCTCTCCACTCGTGCGCCCACAGCACCGCCCCCTCATCAGCAGCGTTGCATGCCTGCCAGCCCCACCCTCTGGCCCACCCATTCGCTTCCTCACTCTCACTGCCGCTGCCATCCCCCCCCGACACAAGCCAGTCATGTGCGTCCCACTCACTCAACCCGGATTCCATGGCCCCTGCACACGGCGCCCCCCAGTTGGCCATGCGCCATCGCCACCCATGGCCGCCCTCACTGCTGCTCTCGCTCTCACTGCCGCTGCTGCTGCTGCTGCCAGAGTCCAGCAGTGCAGAGAGGCCGCGTGCCGTGGGCTCCCAAGGAGCCGTGTGTTGGGGAATGGGGGCGACAGGCAGGCGGCGAATGAAGCGAAGGTTGAGCAGATGGGTGAGGTGCTGGCGGTGCAGAGGAATGCCAGGCACAAGGCCCGCATGCACCTGCGCAGCAGCCAACACAAGGGCAGCAAAAAGCTCAGGTTCAGTGATGCGATGCGGCTTGGGGTGTCCTCGGGAGGAAAACAGTGTCGTGGTAGTGGACGACAATGGCGTGCATGGTGCATGCACCAAGTGGCAGCTATGCTAGTACATGCTTGCGGTACGGAGATTGGAGCAACAGATGTGTTATGACTGGTGGAAGGAGGGCAGCTGGCAAGGTGTAGGAGTGGCATACAACGAGGCAGTTGTGGGAGGGAATGCATATGGAGAAGGGCAGCGAGTGGAGCCAGTCAAGATCAGTGGACGAGAGGTCACTCAGCCACTTGGTGTTGCGCCACCGCTTCGACTTGCCTGGCATGGCAAGGGATGGCAAGGAATGGCCAGCAATGGACAGGGGTTCGAGGGAAGGCGTTTGTTGAGGGAAGAAGCAGAGGGGCACGGCCATTTTCGTGAAAAACTAGTACCTTGCTGCTTGCTGCTGAAATTGTGGTCGCAAACTGAAACCTAGTGTGGGGTGGACAACACACAGGGTCTTCAAGTAGGGTTTGTAGTGGTCCATCTCAATTCGCGATTGCTGTGCGTCTACAAGGGACTACTGTGCAAGTGTGCAGCTCACCAGCGGCGGCAGCAGCAGCAATGGCGAGCGCCTTGTCATCGTGGTTGCCCCTCACTGCCACGGCCCCAATTCTGCGAGCCATGCGCAGCACCGCATGCGAGTCCGGGCCCTGTGGCAACACACGTGCACAGGGGGGAGGAGACGACGCATGCACGGAGGGAGGAGGAGAGGGGCGAGGATGGCCATGGCGGGAATCCCAAACATGAAAGTCAAGGAAGTATGGCAGATGAATCAGATGGCACACAAACGAGGGCAATGAAAGGGGCAGGAAGAGATAGGCATGCAGGAAGAACTGGTGTGCTGGCAGAACTGGTGCATGGTGGACACGGTGTCCACGGGCGCACCTTGTTGACCATGTCCCCCACCAAGATGACCACATCCCCTTCCTTGCGCTCACAGCGCTCCATCAGTGCCTCCAACTCCGCAGGGCAGCCTGCTCACACGCACACAAGTGGCTGCATTGGCATAAGGTCGTGTGCGGCGCATCAAACATGCCGCCGGCCATGATCCACACGCTGCCGCCCATGATCCACACGCTACCACCCATGATCCACACGCTGCCGCCCATGATCCACACGCTGCCACCCATGACCCACACGCTGCCACCCATGACCCACACGCTGCCACCCATGACCCACACGCTGCCACCCATGACCCACACGCTGCCACCCATGACCCACACGCTGCCACCCATGACCCAATTCAACAGCAGGTTCCCCAATTGACGATTTTCAGTGCGCCACAGCGCCAGCAGCATGCAGCGCCCATGTACCGGCACCATGAGCACGCCACGCCCCACCTCACTTGCTCACTCTGCCGCTCTTGCGTTCTCGGACAGCCCAGCTTACTCTCTGCGCTCCGCAAACACGCATGCATGCATGCATGCACACGGCACGGGCACAACCTCACCGCACGCAGCAACGCACCGTGCACGCAGCAACGCACCGTGCACATCGCCTACAATGATGATTCGCCCGTGCGGGTCCATCCGCGACGCGTCAATGCTCGCATGGATGGTGTCTGGCAGCGGCCCCAAAACCCCCTCCGCTAAACCTTCTCCGCGCCCGCCTGCCATGCACGCGCTGCCCCACGCGCCCACCGCCATGCCAGCGCCTGCCGCCAGCGCCCTCCTTCTCCCGATCGCCACCTCGCACTGCCACTCGCTGTCCCCTCGCCCGCATTGCGCCGCTCCCCGCCACTCGATCCGCCCTCCACCTCGCAGCTGCCGCCGCACCACCTCGTCCTTCTCCCCCCACGCAATGGCCGGCAGCAGCGTGGCGCTCCGCAGGGCAGCGGGCGCGCAGTCGAGCGGCGAGGCACTGGCGCGCGCAAAGCACGCATTCGCGCGGGAAGCGGGGAGGGCGGAGCAGGGAGTTGTGCTTGGGGGAGGAGGTGGGGGTGGGAAAGGCAAGGCGGGCAGAAGGGCAGGCGAGTGCGGACGCTGTGCGGGGGTGTCCAAGGCAAGCCCGGGCGGGCGAGGAGTAGCGAGGCGCATGCGGATGGGAGGTGGTAAGGGCTTGGACATGGTTGCGTGAGATCACAGATGAATGGATCAGACAGAGACAGAGCCCGATCCGTGGGCTGCTCTCATACTGTACACATCCCTCGTCATTGTGGCCAAACAACACCCCACTGTAGCAGTAAATGCTTATCTACACCCTCCTCATCTATTTCTTTCAGAAATTCTAATTTTGGATGCTCATATTCAGTAAACGAACGGAGAATTTAGTCAGCTCAGCACACCACCTTTACGAGCCCTCATTTTGGATTCCGGGTTCCTTCCGAAACCCTTGTGGGTTCCAGAACCTGGCCAGGTAACATGCTTCGCAAACTATTCGTGGGTGCCTCGCTAATGTCACTCCAGGCAAGATCCTTCGCCAGTTCCAGAACTAAATACTCATCCCACAGGCACCACCTAACCCCCGTCATATTCGTGTGTGGCATCATCCCTCTCTGCCAAGGCGTGTTGCAGAGCTGCTTCTTTCTGCGTGATTTCCCTGTCCGGCGGGAGCACACGGCCTCCAACTGTCCCCTCCGCCGCGGCGGGCCTGTCAATGACGGCGTTCGACGACAAGGCAGCTCCTCGCCGCCTGCCCGTGCCTCTCATGCTCGCCGCTTCCGCCAGCATCCTCGCCGCCGCGCACCTCCTGCGCTCGCTGCGCCGCAACAACGGTGAGACTCGCCCGCATTCGCCGCCTGCCTCGCGCTGCCAGCACGCCTCATGGATGCACCCCATGCCTCCGCGCCCTCGTCTCCCTCTACCCATTCCTTGTCATCCCATGGGCCCCTCGCTTCCCTCCATGCTCCACTCGCCCTTGCTCGCCACCCCGCATGCCGTGGTGGCGGCCGTGCTGTCCCTCCCAGCAGAGCCGCGAGGCCAGGGCCGCGCGGGGCCGCGCAGCAGGGTGGCGGGTAGGGCGGCGACGGAGGAGGAGCGGCGGCTGCAGCGAGCAGCGGCGGCAGAGGCTCGGCTAGGAGTGGGGGGACAGGAGGCAGGCGGTGCGAGTGGGCGCGGTGGCGCGCGGTGTGAAGGGCGAGTGAATGGGGCGGGTGCTGTAGCTGCGGCAGCGAGCACAGACGGAGTGAGGGAAGCGCGCAGTGCAGGCATGGTGCAAGGAAGTCCAACAGGTGTGCCAGGCGGCGACACAGCAGCAGGAGCAGCAGGGAGAGCCGTGGATGGCGGAGTGGGCAGGCAGGTGGCACAGAGCGAGGCAGTGGGGTTGCCTGGTTGGCGTGATCCGCGATTGACTCCATACGGCCAAGCTCTGCTGCTGAAGAGAGAGGTCAGATATACGGAGACGAAAGAATTCCAGGAAAACTGAACTTGTTGCACGCCAAGAGCATAAGTCGAATGGAACGGGGTTGAAAGTTTGCTCCTCCCTCTCTTTGCTGTCTGCTCTTTTCCGTTTGCATGACTCAGAGCCAGCAACTTTCTGGGTTCTCTCACTCATCCACGGCATGGCAATGGCGTAGTGTGGATGTGCAATTGGCGTGTGCTGTGGTGTGTGAAGATAGACCAACTGGACGAGGACGTCAAGGCGTGGCGGGCAGCCAGCGCACGCACGTCCCACCACTCAGCAACAGCACGTACCTCACAAGCGCCTGTATGTTCCACAGCTGAGCTTATAGTGGTTCCAGCACAGCCGCCAGAGCAGGTGCAGGCACTGTCATGCACTGACCACATGCACACAGTGCATAGCCCTCGCTGCAGAGACAGTGCCCACAGACACACCCACAGTACCCTCGCTGCACTCACAGTGCCCTAGATTTCTCACACATTGACATCCTCTTCCACACACCCATTCCAGAGGCTGGTTGAAGGCTCAGGAGAAGCAGAAGTAGAAAGCACAGAGGTACAGAAGAATGGAACCGCAGCAGAGCAAGCAGAGGTTGGGGAGACACTGAGAGAGAAGCTGCTGGCTAGAGTGACTCGAGCAACAATGGATTTGGCATGCATTGAGGTGAGATATGCCTTCTAGTGGTGCCGAAACGCTTAGCCATTGCCTTTGAGTTTGGCACCACTCAGGTATCTGGGTATTTGTCTCCAAGCGCTTCAATTCCTGTATTGTTATAATTCTGGTCGGTTCTATATAATAGCTGCATGCCTTGTGATGTGAAACTCATAACCAGCTGTTTCCACCTTCCTGAACTAATCCTGCAGCCTGACATCAGTGTGGCACCTATTCGGCGTGAGCAGAATGCCCGTCTTTCACGGATGAGAGAGGTATTTTCTAAATAACCCGGACCCTCGTCTTCCTTGCACAAGAAATGACAATGCCATCTAAATACTGCTGATACCATACAAAATATTTGCTCCTCTATTGTGATCCTTCTTGCCTACCTCTTGGCTTACCGTCTCTTGACCTTATCGTGTTGCCTTCACTAGAATGGCTTATGTTTTTTACCCCTTCCTTAGGTGCTGGTGGAGGCAACGAGCCCTACGTGAGGAGGGGCATCTGAGGCATGAGCACCTCCTTTCAATCATTGGGCTGCAGCATTAGGATACCTTCTCTGACTGCAGCTCATGGTCGGGTGACATGTTCTCTGGCAGATGCCATTATGCCACAGAACGACCTTCACCTTCACCACAAAGTAGGGGAGGGACCAGTTTTTTTATCAATGAAAACCATTTCATGAAAACAGTGAAAACATGATGCTCGTTTTCACATGATTAGAGCGTGTTCCTACTCTCACAGTAAACAGTTAAGTTAGAATGAGGCACACAGGTTGTTTTTGTTCAAGTGTTGTACCCTCTAAGAACATGCACCTTCCTAGTCTATTATTGTTAAATTATATATGTGTTATATAATTGTAGGCTTGGTAGGCATTATTGAAACTTACAGTAGAAGGTACTGTCAAATATGTGTGTTTGTCATGTTTGTATAGACTGTATAGGGTCGTCTCTTAGAGAGTACAACACTTAGGTATATCTGTGTGTACACTCTATCTATCATTTTACTTCTCAGTTTCTGATATGGTATCACGCGTAGGTAGGATCCCCCCCCCCCACCTACCGCTTCCGCTCACCCCTCTAGCGCCCCTCCTGGGCCCCGTCGCACCCCTCCCTGGGCCCCGTCGCGCCCCTCCCAGGCCACGTCGCGCCCCTCCTAGGCCCTGTAGCGCCCCTCCTGGGCCTCGTCGCGCCCCTCCTGGGCTCCGTAGCGCCCCTCCTGGGCCCCGTCGTGCCCCTCCTGGGCCCCGTAGCGCCCCTCCTAGGCCCCGTCGCGCCCCTCCTAGGCCCCGTAGCGCCCCTCCTGGGCCCCGTCGCGCCCTTCCTGGGCCCTGTAGCGCCCCTCCTGGGCCCCGTCGCGCCCCTCCCAGGCCCCGTCGCGCCCCTCCTGGGCTTCGTCGTGCCCCTCCTGGGCCCCGTAGCGCCCCTCCTGGGCCCCGTCGCGCCCTCCCTGGGCCCTGTAGCGCCCCTCCTGGGCCCCGTCGCGCCCCTCCCAGGCCCCGTCGCGCCTCTCCTAGGCCCCGTAGCGCCCCTCCTGGGCCTTGTCGCGCCCCTCCTGGGCTTCGTAGCGCCCCTCCTGGGCCCCGTCGCGCCCCTCCTGGGCTTCGTAGCGCCCCTCCTGGGCCCCGTCGCGCCCCTCCTGGGCCCCTGTAGCGCCCCTCCTGGGCCCCCGTCGTGCCCCTCCTGGGCCCAGTAGCGCCCCTCCTGGGCCGCGTCGAGCCCCCCCCCTCCTGGGCCCCGTCACGCCTTCAGGCCCCGTCGCGCTCGCCCGGCCCCGTCGCCCCAGCCCGGCCCCGTCGCACCAGCCCGGCCCCGTCTCACCAGCCCGGCCCCGTCACGCCCGCCCGGCCCCGTTGCACTCGCCCGGCCCCGTCGCCCCCTGCCCGGCCCCGTCGCAGCCGCCCGGCCCCGTCGCACCCGTCCGGCCCCGTCGCGCCCGCACAGCCCCGGTGCGCCCCTCCTGGGCCACCGTCCTGCTCGCCCGGCCCCGTCGCACCCTCCCGGCAGCGTCGCACCGGCCCGGCCCCGTCGCACCAGCCCGGCCCCGTCGCGCCCGCCCGGTCCCGTCGCGCCCGCCCAGCCCCGTTGCACCGGCCCGGCCCCTGCGCTCGTCCCTGCCCCGGCCCCGGTCCTCCTCACTGGTACGGTTTCCCCCCCCCCCCCCCGCCCTGTACTGCCCCGCACTACACTGCCCCGCACCACCCTGTACTGCCTGGCACCGCACTGCACCGCCCTACACCGCACTACACCGCACTGCATCGCACTGTACCGCACGGCACCGCACTCCACCTTGCTGCACTGCCCTGCACCGCACTGCACTGTTCCTGATGGCGGCGGAGCTTCGCTTCGACGCTGAAGGCCAGCCTCTGGAGTTCGAGGCGTGGCTTGCCGACCTCCGTCGCCAACTCACTGGCCAGCGGCAGGATGGTGAACCGCTTTCCGCACACCTTGACGGTACGCTCCCCTGCCCAGACCCCCCTGCTATTCTGCCCGCTGACTCCACACCCACTGAGCGCGAGTCCACTGCTGCCACTGCCCGTGCGCGCTCTGTCTGGCTTTCTCGCGATGCTGTCGCCCAGCTTGCCATCAGCAACGCCCTTCCCCCGTCCGAGCGCCCTCGCTTTAGGTCTCTCACCACTGCTCAGGCATAAATAGATGCTGTCATCCAGCGCTATTCCACCCCTCCGGCTGCCTCGGTGGGTCGCCTCATCCTCCCGATGCTCTTTCCTGACCTTGCGTCTTTCCCCACTGTCTCTGACCTCGCTGCCCACCTGCGCTCGATAGATGAGACCTGGCGTGCAGCCTGCACTGATGCACAGCTTAGAGCACACCAGCCGCCCATTACCTCTACCCTCTACCTGCTTGCCACCCGCCTCCCTGACCGCCTTGCTGTCGCCCGCGACCGCTTCCTTAGCATTCACCCCGCCGACCTCACCCTCACTGACTTTGTCGACACCCTGACTGTGATAGAGACCCGTCACCGCTCCATCGCCCAGGCGAGCGGTGTCGTGCCGGTCCCTATCTTTCAGGGTTGTGCCCCCGCCCAGTGTACCTTCTCCGACGGCTCTGCCGCAGTGGCTGAGACTGCTGCTGCAGCGCAGTTTCGTTCGGGGAAGGGCCGCCGCCCCAAGGCTGGGCGCGGCGGCGGCGGCGGCGGGGGTGCGGGAGGGGGTAGTGGTGGGGTTGGGTCGTCTGGTGCTGGAGCGGACGAGGGGACCCTGCCCAGTCCAGCTGAGCCGCCACCCCTGCAGTTGCAGCAGCCGCAGCAGCCGCCGCAGTCACAGCCTTCGCAGCAACCGCAGCAGCCGTCGCAGACGCGGCAGACGAGTGTCCTCCCGCCCGGGTGGCCCGGCGCTGGCGGTGGCCGGGCGCGTGGTGGTGTGCCGAGTGGGGGCTCTGGTGGCGGGCGTTGTCAGTACCAGATCCAGACCGGTCCTCGCCGCGGTTTCGTTTGCGGTAGGCTCGGTCACTCCACTCCCCGCTATTTTCGTCGCCTGGACGACCTCTTTCTTCAGCGCTTCGGCCCGTCGCCAGACCTCCCGGACTGGCACAGTTTGCTTAGTCGTAAGATTCAGATTTTTGACATGGACATGGATGCCATTGTTGCTGCTCTGCATGTGATGTATGCTGATGACTCTAGTGTGCTTCCCGCTTATTACTCACTGTTGCCTAGTGTAGGTGTGCCTAGCTTAGCCTCCCCTGCTGCGTCAGGCGTAGGATCCCCTGCTTTGTGTAGTCTTGGTGCTTCCGCCGTCGTTCCGTTGCCAGACGCCTCTGCTTCGCTTTCCTTCACCTTGGACTCTGGCGCTTCTCGGTGTTTCTTCCGCGACTCTACCACCCTGACGCCGCTTCCTGTCCCAGCTGCCGTCTCTCTTGCTGACCCCTCTGGCGGTCCGGTCGTCGCCCGCAGTTCCACCACCCTTCCCTGTCCGGCGGTTCCTTCGGGCTCTCTCACAGGTCTGCATATCCCCTCGTTCTCCAGGAACCTAGTTGGTGTCGGCTGCCTCCAGGACCTTGGCGTCACCACTACGTTCCCTGGTCACGAGCGGTATGCTGTCTGTACCGAGGCCGCCACTGGTGCCCCCCTGTCCACGTTCCCCCGGGACCCGGTGTCCGGCCTGTTCACTCTGGACACCGTGACCCCCCCGACTGGGGCGCCTCCTCAGGTGGCTGCGTCTACCCAGGTTGCTGCTGCCTGCTCCTGTCGGTCCCTCACTCACCCGACTCTCCTTTGGCACCACCGCCTAGGTCACCCTGCGCTCCCGCGTCTGCGTCACATGTCCCAGCACGGTCTTGTCCTTGGTCTCCCAGGTTCCCTCCCCGCGTTTCCCTCCTCCCCAGCCCCACCTTGCACGCCTTGTGTTGAGGGTCGGCTTCGCTGTGCCCCGCAGTCCTCCTCGTTTCCCCCTACCGCCGCGCCGCTGCAGACCCTGCACCTGGACGTCTGGGGCCCCGCCCCCGTCCCTGGGCCGCATCGAGAGCGCTACTTCCTTGTGCTTGTCGACGACTTCACTCGTTACACCACAGTCTTTCCCCTGGAGCGCAAGGCCGACGTGCCTGGCGCTCTCATCCCCTGGCTTGTCTCTGCGCGTGTCCACCGCGGTCTCCCTGTCTTGCGTCTTCACTCCGACCGTGGTGGCGAGTTTGCCTCAGGTGTCCTTGGTCGCTTTTGTCGTGCGGAGGGCATCACCCAGACGTTCACCCTACCGGACTCCCCACAGCAGAATGGGGTCGCTGAGCGACGCATTGGTTTGGTCATGGAGGTGGCTCGCACCTCCATGATCCATGCCGGTGCACCCCATTTTCTGTGGCCGTTCGCTGTGCGCTACGCTTCTCACCAGCTTTACTTGTGGCCGCACCCTCAACAGCCGCAGGTTTCGCCGACTCGTCTTTGGACTGGGTCTCCTGGTGACGCGTCTGCGTTCCACGTCTGGGGCTGCCTTGCTCACGTCCGTGCCTCCGGCACGGACAAGCTCACTGCCCGCACCCTTCCCTGCGTCTTCCTTGGGTTTCCCCTTGACACGTCCGACTGGCACTTGTACCACCCGCCGTCTCACCGCTTCTTTCACTCTCGTGACGTCACCTTTGACGAGTCCGTCTCCTACTACCGTCGCTTCCCCCACCGTGGTCCTCCGGTTACCCCCCCCTGTTCCTGGTCACTCCTTCCCCGGTAGTCCCTGCCCCTCCTCCTCCTCCTCCCCGTCCCGCCCCCTCTGGTGTGTCCCACGTCACCCCCCTTCCGTCGGTGGACCCGGTTGAGGAGTCTTCTGACTCTGGTGGCCCTCCTGTTCAGTCCTCGCCGGCCGCCCCTCCCCTAGCGTCCCCTCCCCAGTCCCCCCCTCCACCGCCTCTGCCGCCGCTGCAGCCATCGTTGTCGCTGCCGCCGCCGCAGCCGCCACCGCCGCCGTCGCAGCACCCGTTCGCTGACTCTGGGGGTGCTCGTCTCGGTAGCCCTGGGGGTGGTCCCTCTGGGGGTGCTGGTGTGGAGAGTGCCGGTGGTAGCCGAGGAGCAGCTTGCGGTCCCGGTGTCGCCGTTGTGCCGCCGCAGCAGCAGTCCCCGCCGGTGTCAGCCCTTCGCCTGCTTGGCCTTCCGTCCCCCGACCCTGCGTCGGTTCCTCCCTGGCCGTCTCCTCCTCTTCCTGTCTACGGCCCTGTCTTCCCTCCGCCGGACTCGTCCCCGGCCCGTCTCCCCCCTCGTTCCCCTCCTGTGTCCCCTCCTCTGTCTCCTGACCCGACTCCTCCGTCGCACGTCTGGTCTCACCGTCCCTCCCGCGCTCGTCCTGCCTCGCCTGTCTTGCGCTCCCACCCTATGTTGCTTCGTTCCCACGCGTCTCGTCCTCCCCTTCTGCCGTCGCCTCCTCCGTCCTCTCTTGTTGTTGCACCCCCCCCGCTGTCTGACTACCTTCGTGCCGCTCGTCCCCTTGTTCCTCGGGTCCTTGCCTCTCTCGTTACCGACCCGTCTGTTCCGACCTCGTGCCTTGACGCTCTTGTCGCTGCTGTCGCTGACTTCGCCTCTACCCGCCGCCTTGACTACGCCTCCGCTCTGGTCTCTGACCCTGCCTGTCCTCCGTCTGTCGGGGGTGCTTCTGCCCTTGGCAGTGACGTCCTGGAGGACCGCCAGTTCGAGCTTGCTTTCCTCTCCGAGGCTGCTCCCCATCTCTGTTCCATGCTGCTAGTCCCTGAGGGTGACCCAGACGCTTTCGACATCCCGACCCCTCGCACTTACGCTGAGGCGACTTCGGGACCCTGGGCCTCGCAGTGGATAGCTGCCATGGAGCAGGAGATGGCATCTTGGAGATCCACCGGCACCTTCGTCGACGCAGTTCCCCCACCTGGGGTGAACGTAGTCGATGGCCGCTGGCTCTTCAAGGTGAAGCGCCCTCCTGGAGAGCCGCCTGTCTTCAAGGCGCGCTATGTGGCTAGAGGCTTCAGTCAGCGCGAGGGGGTGGACTTCTTCCAGACCTTCGCTCCGACCCCGAAGATGACTACTCTTCGGGTTCTGTTACACCTAGCTGCTCAGCGTGACTACGAGCTTCACTCCCTCGACTTCTCCACTGCCTTCCTTCAGGGCAGCCTACACGAGCAGGTCTACCTGCGGCGCCCTCAGGGCTTCACTGGCACCTTCCCTCCTGGGACCCAGTGGCTCCTACGGCGCCCCGTCTACGGCCTGCGCCAGGCTCCCCGTGAGTGGCACGACACTCTCCGTGCTACGCTTGCTGACCTGCAGTTCTTTCCGTCTTCCGCAGACCCTTCACTCTTCGTTCGTGCTGGCCAGACTCTGTTCTACATCCTTGTTTACGTCGACGACCTGGTCTTTGCCACAGCTGACAGGGACGCACTGGCCTCCGTGAAGGCAGAGCTGCTGAAGAGACACACCTGCACTGACCTTGGAGAGCTGCGCCGTTACCTTGGCTTGCAGATCTCCAGGGAGAGAGCTGCGCGCACCATCACCCTGACTCAGTCACACTTGGTGCGCCAGGTCCTTCAGAGGTTCAGCCTTCAGTTCTCCTCTGCACAGCCCACCCCTCTGCCTGTAGACCACAGACTCTCCGCTCCAGTGTCTGAGGACTTGGTAGAGCCCAGCGGCCCCTACGCAGAGCTGGTGGGTTGCCTCATGTACCTGATGACTTGCACTCGCCCAGATCTCGCATACCCTCTCAGCATCCTGGCTCGCTTTGTGGCCACAGGCAGACACCGACCGCAGCACTGGTCTGCCGCTAAGAGGGTTCTGCGTTATCTTGCTAGTACATCGGGCATGGGGTTAGTGCTAGGAGGACGCAGGCCAGTGGTCCTTACTGGACACACAGACGCTTCGTGGGCAGACGACGCTGAGACACTCAGGTCTACCCAGGGCTACTGCTTCAGCCTTGGCTCAGGTGCCGTCTCGTGGAGAGCTACCCGCTCCTCGTCTGTTGCGCAGTCCAGCTGTGAGGCTGAGATCTACGCTGGTGCCATGGCGGCACAGGAGCTCCGCTGGCTGACCTTCTTGCTCACCGACTTAGGTGAGCGGCCTAGCTCTGCCCCGGTCCTGTTCGCTGACAACAGGGCCATGATCCTCCTGTGTCAGGAGCCTCGACTCGAGGGCAGAGCAAAGCACATTCAGCTGCGGTACTTCCTCCTGCGTGAGCTACAGCAGCGACGTCAGGCTCGCGTAGTACACTTGGCCTCAGGTGCCAATACGGCTGATATCTTTACGAAGGCGCTTGCGCCTAAAGATCATCAGCGGCACTGTGTACAGCTTGGTCTAGTTCCTGTAGCCTCTCACTTGCTAGGACCTTGACTTTGTACTGTCCTTTATACGTATACTCAGACTGGACTTGTGTCCTCTCTCAGTGGCTGGACTAGTAGTGCCGCCCTGCTCTTGTTCTCGCCTTGTTTGTACTCCTTCTGACTGGTCTCTCAGACCCTTGTCTCAGAGGTTGGACTAGTAGTGCCGCCCTGAGCTGTTTGTTTAGAGCATTCCCCTATGCAGTCTAGGGGGTGTGTCAAACATGTGTATTTGTCATGTTTGTATAGACTGTATAGGGTCGTCTCTTAGAGAGTACAACACTTAGGTATATCTGTGTGTACACTCTATCTATCATTTTACTTCTCAGTTTCTGATAGGTACAACACTCCTCCTTGTATCCTCTTGTTAAATTATATATGCTAGTATATAATTGTAGGCTTGGTAGGCTGACTGAACTTTACTGTAGAGGGTACAACACCCCTCCTTGTGTCCCTCTCTCTTCTATTCGGATCCTCTTTTCTCTCCTCAACTTTCCTAGCCTAAAACCTCTCGCCATTTCCATGGCTCCTCCTAGCTCCTAGCTAAACCTCATGCCATTTTATGGCTTCCTAGCTAAGCTAGACTTGTGACACCTCTCTCCTATTCTCAACTCTCTTTTCTCTCGTCAACTTCTTCTCCTAGCTAAACCCTCACGCCAGTTCATGGCCGCCAACAGGGCCTAAGATATCAACCTTAAAGCCCTGGTTTGCTTAATTTCAATGGCTGTTTTTTCTGTTGTCTATGATTTTCCTGTGTTTGCAAACTGCCCATTGAGACTTATTCTTGAACAACAGGTCCCTCACAAGCCTTTGTATCATTTGCATTAGCCAATGCCAAGATATGGCCTGGACCCGAAACCCAAATTAGCCTAAAAAGCCTGATATCTCAGGGCCTGGCCGCCAACCATTCCTAGCTTTCGTAACAATTATAACATATACAAATATGTTTGACCCCCTCGGCTAGATGAGGGGTAGTGCATAGAAATCGACACACAGCTCAGGGTGACACTACTAGTCCAGCCGGTGAGGCAAGGGTCTGAAGACCAGTTAGCAAGAGTACAAGCTAAATAAGAGCAACCCAGGGCGGTACTACTACCGTAATCTCCCGGCATGATGACCCTAGGTCTTATGGAAAATTCATTGAAAATTGTTTGGGTGGACATTTTAAAGGATGGTAATTAATAAGACCCATGTGCAGTTATTTATTACGTAAGGTGTTTGTTTGTTACATGTTCTGGTATTCCAATCGGGGTTATTCAGGGGGTCCTTTGTTTCAAACGGGGGAAAGTATATTCTTAGCCTCGTTTTGTCCGAGCCATCTAGATGGACACGCGTCGGATTCTTAGCACCGGCTGCCAACTTTACAGCGCTGGCGCGTCGCGCGGGCTTCTTGACTGCCAGCAAGAGTCATTATATGGAGGGGGGAGGTTCGTTCACGGAGTCTCCCCACGGTCCACCCCATTGAGAGGTTTCTTGTGTCAGGCAGGCATGACTCCCTCCATCGTCGTGTCTCGCTCCGCCTCACGTCCCTCTCTTTTCCGTCTTCACAGAGGGGTAGTCGCTGCGACAAGTCTCATTTCCTATTTTTCAACCAGGGTTTTTAGCAAGCTTGATGTTCCAGGAGATGGCATCTCTCCCCTCTCTCTCCTCTAGGTGTAGGATTCTTCCAAGCAACAGCCATGTCGGCTCTGCAAATGCTCATGCAGAATCGCGTATCTAGGCAAACCCGTTCGCACAGCAGACCGTCCAGCTTTTCAGCATCACCTTCACCGCCCGCACCTCCAGCGCCACCTGCGCCGCCTGCTCCCCCCTCGCCTCCCGCGCCGCCAGCGCCTCCTGCTCCTCCGGCTCCTCCTGCACCATTGCCTACGTTTGCTGGCTTTTGGGAGCCGACAAATGACGAGAACCTCACCCCCCATGAGCGTGTGCCCAATGCAGAAGAATCCCTTCGTCCCTCCTTCCCCGTCCCTCAATTCCCGCCAGACATTCTGCGTCACGACATCGAGGCTCGGCGTCCACTTGACGCATGTGCACCAGAGTATTGCGCCAGGAGGACAAAGCACCGCCGCACATTGCGCACCATGGCCGAGAAAATCGGCTGGCTGCACAAGATGCGCGATGAGGGGCTGACCATTCGACGGGTGGCGCGGGAAGCGGGTGTCGAGCCGGTGAGCATTAGGCGCTGGCTGAAGAAGGAAGAGGACATGACGCACGCCTCGGGCTCCAGGCGTAGGCTTGTGGGCGCAGGGCGACCGTCGAGGCACCCCGACATGGAGCAGGCTGTCTATAGAAAGTTCCTGAGCCACCGCTCCCTTGGCCTTGCAGTCCCAATTTCCCTCCGGGTTTAGGGCTAGAGCCGGCAGTTCATGAAGACTCACCATCCCGAGGTGGACTAGAGGGCCTCGCCTCATTGGACCTTCAGGTTTCGCGTTCGCTGGGGTCTCACCGTGCGAGTCAAGACTAAGATTGGTCAGCGTTTGACCCCCGGTAAGCCGACCTCTCTCATTCGCGCCGAGTGTTTTAGAATGTTTTTTTATCCCACTGCATGCCGTATGGTCGTGGAATAACATGGTGTATTCACCCCTACCTTACTCTTCCGCGTATCTTTTGTTTCCACTGGTAGATTGCAAGCCAAAGAGCGAAAGCTTTTGGCGATTCGTCCGGAAACAGATGCTGGAGAGCGGCATCAACCCATGGAACATGATCAATGCAGATCAAACTCCAGTGTTCCTGGAAATGCCTTTCGAGCGCACACTTCACCATCGGGGGGATCGGACTGTACAGATTCGGAGCGCCGGATATGAGAAGGAGAGGGTGACGGTGATGTTGGCGGTGACAGCGGATGGCCGAAAACTGCCTCCCATGGTCATCTTCAAAAGGAAGATGATCCCTAATATTCGAGCACCACCTGGTGAGTTTTGCTACATGACAGCCTATTTTGTCTCCCTAGCTGTTTCCCCCTTATTATTCCTAACAGTGTGCGTGCATTATTGTGCAGGTCTCCTCATCCGAGCACAGGAGCAAGGCTGGATGGATGGAGGCCTCGTGCAAGATTGGGTGCAGCACGTGTTGCTGCCCTTCATCCACCCCCCCACAGGTGTCTCGAGGAGTAAGACACTGCTTGTCCTGGACTCCTACCGTGGGCACCTGACGGATGGCGTGCTTGGCTCCTTCACGTGGCACAGGATCACCCCCACAATCATCCCTGGCAGCTGCACGCCCCTGCTGCAGCCGCTTGACGTCGTCATCAACCGCGCCTTCAAGGCGGGCGTCCGGCGGTTCTACAACGACTGGTTCGCCACAGAAGGCATTGACCTGCTGACGCCCGCTGGTGAGCCTCTCTCATGTTTGCTGGTATGTGAGTGCCTGCCCTGTTTAACTCACAATTCAGGAATCTCACCTCTCTCTCTTCCTCTTGATTGCTTACTTGAGCAGGCAATCTAAGGAAGCTGCCGCCAGAGTTGGTCCTGCGCTGGATCTGGAACTCCTGGGACCTTGTCCCCGAGGACATCATTGTCCGCGCGTTCAAAACGTGCGGGCATCAGCAACAACCCCGACGGGAGCGAGGACCACCTGGTCCTTGCTCACATGCGCGACGCTGCCCAAGTCGAAGTGCACGATGACGTGCATGCTGCCGGGGCTGTGGAAGAGTGGATCAATCCACTCTACGCGGAGGCCGAGCAGGAGGACGAGGGGGAGGGAGGCGAGGAGGAGGGAGATGGGCAGATGGCTGAGAAGGAGGAGGAGGAGGCAGAGGAGGCAGCAGCAGCAGCGGCAGCAACATCGGCAGAAGCAGCGGCAGAAGCGGCAGACGAAGAGGCCTCAACAACAGAGTCTTGGAGTTCCCAAGGCGAGGTGGACGTCAACACAGCCTGGGACATTGAGTCCCTTGAGTAGTGGTAGCTAGTAGCAGTTCGATGGATGTGTACCGTATCAGTAGGTTCGATGAGTTGGTCTAACATGAGGTGTGCTGCCGTGGATGTGCAGTGCCTAGGATTCCCTAAGGCAGTATTTAGTGTAGGTAGGATGCAATTGGCAAGAAGCAATAGTACTGGTAGGACCGTCCTAACTCATGATGTGGAAGTTGACTTTGTAGTGCACAACGCATTTTGAAATTGAGCAAAAACTGCCAGAAAAACCTCTTCAAACTGAAAGGGGGGGGGTCCTCAAATGATTTACCCCAAACAGCGGGTCCTCACAATCCCTTTACGATATTAAGACCCAGAGTCCCTTTTTCGGGAGGGTAATCATGCCGGGAGATTACGGTAGTCCAGCCACAGGGACAGAGGCCACAAGGCCAGTCAAGAGGATATAAAATGAGTACACAATCAGGGTCCTAGCAAGTGAGAAGACACAGGAAATAGACCATGCTGTACACAGTGCCGCTGTTGATCTTTAGGCGCAAGTGCCTTCGTAAAGATATCAGCTGTGTTGGCACCGGAGGCCAAGTGTACTACGCGAGCCAGGAGTCGCTGTTGCAGCTCGTGCAGGAGGAAGTACCGCAGCCGGATGTGCTTTGCTTTGTCCTCGAGTCTGGGCTCCTGACACAGGAGGATCATGGCCCTGTCGTCAGCGTATAGGACCGGGGCGAAGCTAGGCCACTCACCTAAGTCTATGAGCAAGAAAGTCAGCCAGCGGAGCTCCTGTGCCGCCATGGCACCGGCGTAGATCTCAGCCTCACAGCTAGACTGGGCAATAGACAACGAGCGGGTGGACCTCCACGAGACAGCACCTGAACCAAGGCTAAAGCAGTAGCCCTGGGAGGATTGGAGGGTCTCAGCGTCGTCTGCCCAAGAAGCGAACCCCATGCCCGATGTACTTCCTAGATAACGCAAAACCCTCTTAGCGGACAACCAATGCTGTGGTCGGTGTTTGCCTGTGGCCACAAAGCAAGCCAGGATGCGGAGAGGGTATGCAAAATCTGGACGAGTACAAGTCATCAGGTACATGAGGCAACCCACTAGCTCAGCGTAAGTACCACTGGGCTCTACTGTCTCCTCAGGAACTGGAGCTGAGAGCTTGTGGTCTATTGGCAGAGGTGTGGGCTGTACGGAGGAGAACTGAAGGCCGAACCTCTAAAGGACCTGGTGCACCAAGTGTGACTGTGTAAGAGTGATGCTGCGCACTGCTCTGTCTCTGGAGATCTGCAGGCCAAGGTAGCGGTGCAGCTCTCCTAGGTTAGTGCAGGTGTGTCTCCTCAAGAGCTCGGCCTTCACGGAGGCCAGTGCGTCTCTGTCTGTAGTAGCGAAGACCAGGTCGTCCACGTAGACAAGGATGTAGAACGTAGTCTGGCCAGCATGAACGAAGAGCGAGGGGTCTGCAGAGGACAGAAAGGACTGCAGGTCAGCTAGCGTAGCACGCAAAGTGTCGTGCCACTCACGGTGTGTCTGCCGCAAGCCGTAGACCAAGCGCCAGAAGAGCCACTGGGTCCCAGGAGGGAAGGAACCGGTGAAGCCCTGCGGACGGTACATGTAGACCTGCTCGTGTAGGCTGTTCTGAAGAAAAGCATGAGAGAAGTCAAGGGAGTGGAGCTCGTAGTCACACTATACTGCTACGTGTAGCACCGCCCAAAGAGTAGTCATCTTCTGGGTTGGGGCAAAGGTCTGAAAGAGGTCCACCCCTCTAGCCATGTAGCACGCCTTGAACACAGGCGGCTCTTCGGGAGGGCGCTTCACCTTGAAGAGCCAGCGGCCATCGACTACGTTCACCCCAGGTGGGGGAACTGCGTCGACGTAGGTGCTGGTGGATCTCCAAGATGCCATCTCCTACTCCATGACAGCTATCCACTGA